AGACTAGATCCAAATAGATGTTTCACGATAAGTTATGGTTTAGAAGGACGGTCACTGAGATATTGTTTAGTTCCTGCGATTTTTCAAAAAAATTCTTTCCTGACTTAAGTTTGTTTGAGGACAAACAAAAAGGTAAGTCTGGGGGAGTTGATAACACCGTATTTTGACCACTTTTATGGATCATAATTATGTCTTTTGCAGGTGTTTTACTCTGTTTTCAATGGTTTTTAAAGTTTTTTCAATGTTATAGAGTTTCAAAAGACTTTACAGGAAACTTGGGCAAAAGATATGCAATTTGGAACAAATGAGCAATTTTGGATAAATGCAGATCGTCAGAAGTATGACAAGCGATGAAGAACTTCTCACCATCTGATCACATAGAGGATCCAACCAGCTTTCTAATGCACTTGGTTTGGAGACAATCCAACGGTTAGATCTTCAGATATTCCCGATGCAAGAATGATAGAAAATGCAGTTCCAGAAGAGAGCAGGTGCCGGGACCGCGGCCAACACCCATTTTCCCGCGGGTAGAGCCACCGCGACCGCAGATTTTGGTCGTTCACTTTCCCGACTACTTAATTAAAGCCCAGATCAATTCCTTTCGTTATTTTTGAAGCCCTAAGTGTCCAGAACCACTCTAGAAGCTATAAATACCCTCTTTAGGTCATTCTAAAGAGGAGAGACCAATAGAGACCAAAACTAATTAGACAAAGAGGAGAGAGAGAGAGAGAGATTTTCTTGCAACCCTAAGGAGGAGCCGTCGCCGTCTTCGAAGAGGAGCCGCCGCAGGAGTAACCATCGCGCCTCCTTCTGCTTCTCCGTTCTTCGTTCTTCTTCCCTCTTTTCTTTAATTTCCTGCAACTTTCAATACTCTGTGATGATTGTTTACAATATGTTTGAGTAGTTACCCAGTTGGGTTTAAAGGGATTTTTCAAAAGGAATTTCATGTGTCTTTGCTTATGAATCGATAGATTTAGGATTTATAATCTTCTAGATGTTCTTCGTTTGCCTTTAATCTTACTGCGTGATTCTTTGCTGGCCACTTAGAAGCCGATCTGATATGATATGTTGCGAAATTTTTCATTGATTGTCTGAACTAGGGTGAAACGAGCAATTCTTCTATAGGAGTGGAAACCTACCTGTAGTTGAGTTGTGAATGTTGATGAGTCTTGTCCTGCTATTGCATCTTCTCCCTTCCAGAATCAGAGTGGAAACCTACTGATTAGGGTTGCGAGAGATAGTTGTTTAGTGCTGCGAAAGTAGGCTATTCATACTTCCGTGCCTCGAGTTCTAGAACATACGTAGTTGATTACCTTTATCACTTGTTTAAAATCCACATAGCTTAGTCCATGAACCCCTGCGAAACCGCTTGAGCCCCAACGTTTGTCTTTTATTGCTTACAACCTTCAATTTCATCTGCTTTTTAATCGCTATTTATCTGCTTTTCATTCGCTTGTTCTTCGCTTCAAATCGCCTCTTGTTTAATCGATTTCTACTTGCTTTATTGCTTTCACTTTCAATTGCTTTTACTTGTTTAGCTTTCTAGTTTAGATTTAGTGACAACAAAAACCCAAAACCAAAACCAAAAACTTTTAGTTCTAATCTGATTTAAGCGTTGCGTTGAATTCGTACTGAAACAACTAAGTCTCTGTGGATCGATACCCTAAGTACTACAGCGCACATCTGTGCACTTGCAGACATTTAGGGGTTATAAATTTAAAACCTGAAGCTTAGTAAAACGAAAACCGACCAACCCTGTTTACAACTCGCATCAGTGGGTAGAGTTCATTGAGACATTTCGTTATGTCATCAAGTATAAGCAAGGTAAGGACAATGTTGTAGCCGATGCATTGTCTCGCAGGTATACTCTACTCTCTATTCTTGATGCTAAGCTGATTGGCTTTGAGCAATTGAAACATATGTATGCCTCTGATGTTGATTTTAAAGAGATATACCAATCCTGTGAAAAATTTGCTAGTGGCCGATACTTTAGACAAGAAGGATTTCTTTTCTTTGATAATCGCATGTGTATTCCTAACTGTTCTATTCAAGATTTATTTGTCAGGGAAGCACACGGAGGTGGCCTCATGGGACACTTTGGAGTTGCTAAAACTATGAAGGTGATGCAGATCATTTTCACAGGCCGCATATGAAGAGGGACATGGAGAGAATTTTGATATATTCATAAATTGAATCATTCAGTGTACATATTTTAGTCCAAATCATGTCTTATCTCATGCATTTTAGGTCTTTAGGCATTGTTTTAGGACTTAGGAGATTACATTAGGTCCAAGAGAGTTTTGCATGTTTTGGAGTGTTAAACAGGTGTTTTTGGAGCCAATTTGGAGTGGAGAATGTGATTCAGATGAAGAAATGGAGTTGGAATGATCAAAAATGGTGAAAAGGAGCAATTTTGGGTTTCTCGGCATAATGCTGTACTGAGTCATATTCTGATCCAAAATGGCACTATATTGACAAGAGGGAGTTATGAGCTTACAAATAAGAAGTAAATACTCTTAAATGTGGAAGTAGAGACTCCTATATTGATGTGGATATCGACCCTAAGACCTTACCGGGGCTAATGCCATCAGTCCAAGACGGGGCCATGACACGCTCCAAGATTAAACCACTCAGAAATAGATACAAGAGAGCCTTACACATCTTTATCAACTCACTAGAACCAGACGACCCGTTGTTGCCCGACCTGAATGTCATATACGGCTTAAACGAGCTTTGCGGCCAAACCGGGGCCAAATACTTGGGATCCAGAAATGACCCATCAGATGACCGAATCTCTCAGGCCAAAATGGTTATCTCTCGACCAGTTTTTGATTTAAATGCTAACAGTCCGAGCAGAATTTCATTTTCAGGCTTAAAACATGAAGAACTAAAGGATGATTCCAAAATGGCCGATACGCGAGAAACTTTGGCCGAGACGCGAGAGATTTTACCAGAGAAATCAGTATCACCTCGGCCAGACCAATTTACCGATGGAATCTGTCGTACTGAAGCTGTTCTTGCTCGACCAAAATCACCAGCTGAATCTAACGGACGAGACAGAAACAAGTTTGCCCGAGTGGATAATGAGATGGCCGAGCCCGTACAAGATTTAGCCGATAATTCAAAGACACCCGGGCTGGAGCCACCAGACAACTTGGAAACCTCCAACAAAGGTAAGATCTCTCGTCCAAGTATATATACTGAGGCTAACGAACGTGGAATTTTGTCCTACCAACGAGCAGATTTGGAGATGCTTCACAATACACCACCCGGACCCGAGAAAGGCCAAGAAGACCAAGGAACTAGGACGGAGCACCAAAAAGCTTGGGGACTTGAAGACAAGGACTTAGCTACATTGGAGAAGCATTTAGAAGACTTTACAAGAAGGTTCCGAGCCAAGGACGCCACAGCCTCAAGCTCGGCCATCACAGCTACACAAGCGGCCAACCGGAACCCTTCACACCAAGGTAAGCTTTTCAATTTTTATATCGTTCTTGCAGGTGATCTCAGCCCTCACAACGGCTAAGTACAACATCAAAACGACGTCAGTAGTTTAGTTTAAAGAGTCTTAAGCAAACTTTCCATTTTTGTATGAAATGAAACGATGAGTTTATGTTTTCATAGACTAGGTTTGTTTCTCGTAATTTCCTTTCAAAGTCCTGTCGTTTTGAGTCCTTTTCTTTTCGTGGAGTTGAACCCTAGAAGGTTCAAGCTGACGGACTATTTATAAATTCCCACACGCAGCTTTGTAGTCACGAACCTTTTTCCCATTATCAATAAAAGAACGAACTTTCTTCAAAGTTTATTGAGAAGCGGCTTCTCATCTTGTTCACTGCTTTCTTGTGAGATTCAAGGAAGCGTGAGCTCCTGCACCGTATCAGAGAATCACCATCCCTCTGTGTCGTGTATTCACTCCGCGAACACACCATCTCTAGATCCCACACTAGAGGGCGTCCGCCTGTGTGTCAGATCCCCATCCAACGTTCATTCACCGAGCCAAAGAGAGGGCGACCGCCTGCTTTGCCTCACCACCACCTTGTTACCCGTGGGAACCCCTTGGTTCTTACATCATCTGGTATCAGAGCCGAAAGTTCTGCTTTCGGTTTTCTTACTCCTATCCTTTTATTTATTTTTGTGTTTCCGCATTCATAGGTTGTTAGATCCGTTAGTCACCTATTAAGAAAAGCAAAAAAAATATAGCTAGGGTCTTAGTTTCTAGTTGGTCTTTTGTCGCCTATAGAAAAATCAAAAAAAAAATTGTTTAAGTCCCTTAGTTCATATCATTTTGTACCGTTGCATTTTGATTAAACTAAAATAGAAAATTCAAAAAGATTTTAATTCGAATCCTAGTTATTCCTTGCGTTTAAGCTTCCTTCTACCTTTGGTATTTTGACGATTTGTTGTTTTTGTGAGATTACATCATCTGAAACCATGCGAGATAACTCCGAGAACGCCGCACCTACTCCTGTCAATGGACAACAGCACAACAAGCTCATGGCCATGTTAGCCACCATGAGGGAATACTTGAGGGATACGCGCGAACGTGTCGCGAGACTCGAGCCACCAGCTCACCGAGCACCGAATCCTGTATTGCCACAAGCTCGGAGGAACTTGCGTAATTAGGCCGAGGAGATTCCACCTGATTCTGATTCAGACAGTATGCCTGAACTGGAGGAGGATCTTCCACCTGATCCCATGCGTAGACGACAACCGAGAAGACAAGACCCATTTCTACGCAATAGGCCGCGAGAACGCGAACCGAGAGAAGTTAATCATGATATAAAACTAACGCCTCCAACTTTTGCAGGGAAATCCAATCCCGAAGTTTACTTGGACTGGGAACGGCGGTTAGAATACATCTTTGATTGCTATGGCTATAGTAGAACAAGAAAGTGGCCTTAGCCGCGGCTCAACTCACCGACAATGCCTTAGCATGGTGGGATCGCACCGTAGCTGAGAAGAGACGCCAAGTCTTTGGACCAATATAAACTTGGCACGACATGAAGTACCTCTTACGCCTCAGGTATGTTCCGGAACACTATCACCATGACTTACAGAAGCGTTTTCGTAAGTTAACTCTGGGAACAAGGAGCGTGGAAGAGTACTTTGAGGAGTTCGAGAAACTGATGAACTCCCTAGAGCTTGAAGAGACCGAAGAGGCTTTAATGGCTCAATTTTTGGATGGTCTCCAAGAGAGAATAGCCCGCAAAGTGGAGAGGGTCAAGTATAGTGGCCTCCACAAATTGTTGCACCTTTCAGTTCAGGTGGAACAGCAAATCAAACGTAAAGCCTCAATGACAAGGGCAAGTTCGTGGACGTTGATTCACGTCTCAAGTCAAAGCTCACCGAGGTGCCAAAACCCAATCGACCGGAACCAGGTAAGTTCCAAAACACTAGTCAAGGTAGAACGCGCGATATAACCTGTTTCAAGTGTCAGGGACGAGGGCACTATGCACGAGACTGTCCAAATCAAAGGGTAATGATCATCACCCCGAGTGGAGGATATGAGTCTCAAGACGAGCCCGAAGAAGAACCAGAGAACCCTGAAGAGGATGTGGAATATCCTGATACTGGTGAATATCTCTTAGTGACGAGGAGAGTCCTAAGTGTGCAAGTTCAACCTGAGGATCGGATCCAACGAGAAAACTTGTTCCATACGCGGTGCACCATTAACAACAAGTTATGTAATCTTGTTATTGATGGAGGTTCATGTACTAACGTGGCAAGCAAGTTCATGGTAGACATATTAGGGCTGGAAAAGATCAAGCACCCGAGACCATACAAATTGCAATGGCTTGACGATGCCACCGAGCTCAAAGTAACCGAACAAGTCACGGTTCCTTTTAGCATGGGCAAGTACAAAGACGAGGTCCTTTGTGATGTTGTGCCGATGCAGGCAGGGCATCTTTTACTCGGAAGGCCGTGGCAGTTTGACAAGGCGACTATGCACAATGGCCGCACCAACTTTTACAGCTTCACGCACCTTGGACGCAAATATAATCTAGCTCCCCTCAGCCCCACCGAGGTCCATGAACTACAGAGCCGAATGCAACAAGAGGCTAAGTCTTCTAAATCAGCATTACACTTATCTACTGGTGAATTAAACCGCATTTGTAGTGCCAACCGCACTATGTTATTAATGCTTTTCAAAGAATGTCTTAGCGCAGGTCTAAAGGAGCTTGAACTCCCACCCGAGGTAAAGATCTTACTCAAACGGTTTGAAGATGTCTTTCCTGAGGAGATCCCACCAGGGCTACCACCTCTACGAGGAATAGAGCATCAGATAGACCTTGTTCCAGGTCAGCCGTTACCAAATAAGGCAGCTTACCGAATGAACCCGGAAGAAAGCTAGGAGCTCGAGAGACAAGTGCGAGACTTGATGGACAAAGGCTATATACGAGAAAGTCTCAGCCCCTGTGCCGTGCCCGTGCTTTTAGTGCCCAAGAAGGATGGCCCCTGGCGTATGTGTGTGGATTGTAGGGCCATAAACAACATTACTATCAAGTATAGGCACCCCATTCCACGATTAGACGATATGTTGGATGAACTTAGTGGCTCCACTATTTTCTCCAAAGTGGACTTGAAGAGTGGGTACCACCAGGTCTGAATGCGTGAAGGAGATGAATGGAAAACGGCTTTCAAGACCAAGCAAGGCTTGTACGAGTGACTAGTCATGTCTTTTGGCTTAACTAACGCCCCTAGCACCTTCATGCGATTAATGAACCAGGTTCTTCGAGAATATATAAGTAAATTTGTGGTAGTTTATTTTGATGACATACATATATATAGTAAGAACTTACATGACCATCTTACACACCTCGAACTAGTGCTCAAATCACTTCGCAAGGAAGGCCTTTATGCTAACCTTAAGAAGTGCTCATTCTGTACTAACCAACTCGTGTTCTTAGGATTTGTTGTGAGTGAACAGGGCTTACAGGTGGATGAAGAAAAGATAAAGGCGATACAAGAATGGCCTACCCCTACCACCATCGGCCATGTATGAAGCTTTCATGGGTTAGCCAGTTTTTACCGGCGGTTCGTGAAAGATTTTAGCACTGTGGCCGCACCACTCACGGCTGTTATCAAGAAGAACGTTCCGTTCAAGTGGGGAATAGCTCAAGACGAAGCGTTTCGAGCCTTGAAGGAGAGGCTCCCCCAAGCACCTGTTCTTGCCTTACCGAACTTCGACGAGATGTTCGAAGTGAAATGCGATGCCTCCGGATTAGGGATCGGAGCTGTGCTGCACCAAAAGAAGAGGCCGGTGGCGTATTTCAGTGAGAAACTCCATGGGGCCACCCTCAACTACCCCACCTACGATAAGGAGTTGTACGCACTAGTTAGAGCATTGGAGACGTGGCAACATTACTTGTTATCCAAGGAGTTCCTCATACACACTGATCACGAAACCCTTAAACATTTGCGTGGCCAAACCTCACTTAAACGAAGGCATGCTAAATGGCTTGAGTTCATAGAAACCTTCCCCTATGTAATCAAGTACAAAAAGGGCAAAGACAACGTGGTAGCTGACGCTTAATCAAGACGCCATACGCTTATAGCGACCATGGAGGCCAAAGTATTGGGCTTCGAGCACATTAAGACGCTATACAAAGATGATCCTGAGCTTGGTGAAACATATATCGATTGCTGCAAGGGCCCCATAAGTTCTTTCTATATACACAATGGATTTCTTTTTAAAGATAAACGCTTGTGTATTCCGCAGGGATCCATGAGGGAACTAGTGCTTAGTGAAGCTCACAGTGGAGGCTTAATGGGACACTTTGGGGTGGATAAGATTCTGGCTGTCATGATGGACCATTTCTATTGGCCACACATGAAAAGGGACGTGGAACGGTTCTGTTCTAGATGTATCCAGTGCCACAAAGCCAAATCCAGGTCACACCCTCACGGTTTATATATGCCTCTGCCTATACCTAACGCCCCTTGGGTAGATATTTCGATGGACTTTGTCTTAGGTTTACCCAAGATCAGGCACAAGGACTCCATCTTTGTTGTTGTTGACCGGTTCTCTAAGATGGCCCACTTTATACCGTGTGAGAAGACAAACGACGCTACACAAATAGCCAATTTGTTCTTCAAGGAGGTTGTGCGTCTACATGGGGTCCCGAGAACAATCATTTGAGACCGCGACACCAAGTTTCTCAGCCAGTTTTGGCGTACCTTGTGGAAAAAGTTAGGCACCAAGCTCCTTTTCTCCACAACTTGTCATCCTCAGACCGATGGTCAAACAGAAGTGGTAAACCGAACCTTATCTACACTACTTAGGGCTACACTTGGTAAAAACATGAGCACATGGCTCGATTGCATCCCTTTTGTAGAATTTGCTTATAACCGTGCAAGACACTCGGCTACAAAGTTATCTCCATTCGAGATAGTTTACGGTACTAACCCTCTTTCTCCAGTGGATCTTAGACCTATAGCACAGGTAGACCAAGCCAATCTAGATGGATTGAGACGAGGAGAGCTGTTCAAAAAGCTATATGAGACGGCGAAGACCAACATAGAAAAGAAGACCGAGGTCTACAAGAAGGCCGCAGACAAAGGCCGAAAGGACGTCTCATTTGAACCAGGAGATTGGGTCTGGTTACACATGAGGACAGAAAGGTTTCCTGGTCGACGTGCATCCAAACTCTCACCGAGAGACGACGGCCCATTCAAAGTCTTGAGCAAGATCAACGATAACGCCTATCGTTTGGATCTTCCAGGTGAGTATAACATTTCACACACTTTCAACGTGGCTGACTTATCTTATTTTGATGCAGGTGAAGAAGTTTTGGGGTTAAAACCTTTAGAAGAAGGAGGGAATGATGTGGACATCGACCCTAAGACCTTACCGGGGCTAATGCCATCAGTCCAAGACGGGGCCATGACACGCTCCAAGATTAAACAACTAAGAACTAGATACAAGAGAGCCTTACACATCTTTATCAACTCACTAGAACCAGACAACCCGTTGTTGCCCGACCTGAATTTCATATACGGCTTAAACGAGCTTTGCGGCAAAACCGGGGCCGAATACTTGGGATCCAGAAATGACCCATCAGATGACCGAATCTCTCAGGCGAAAATGGTTATCTCTCGACCAGTTTTTGATTTAAATGCTAACAGTCCGAGCAGAATGTCATTTTCAGGCTTAAAACTTGAAGAACCAAAGGATGATTCCAAAATGGCCGATACGCGAGAAACTTTGGCCGAGACGCGAGAGATTTTAGCCGAGAAATCAGTATCACCTCGGCCAGACCAATTTAGCGATGGAATCTGTCGTACTGAAGCTGTTCTTGCTCGACCAAAATCACCAGCTGAATCTAACGGACGAGACAGAAACAAGTTTGCCTGAGCGGATAATGAGATGGCCGAGCCCGTACAAGATTTAGCCGATAATTCAAAGACACCCGGGCTGGAGCCACCAGACGACTTGGAAACCTCCAACAAAGGTAAGATCTCTCGTCCAAGTATATATACTGAGGCTAACGAACGTGGAATTTTGTCCCACCAACGAGCAGATTTGGAGATGCTTCACAATACACCACCCGGACCCGAGAAAGGCCAAGAAGACCAAGGAACTAGGACGGAGCACCAAAAAGTTTGGGGACTTGAAGACAAGGACTTAGCAACATTGGAGAAGTATTTAGAAGACTTTACAAGAAGGTTCCAAGCCAAGGACGCCACAGCCTCAAGCTCGGCCATCACAGCTACACCAAGGTAAGCTTTTCAATTATTATATCATTCTTGCAGGTGATCTCAGCCCTCACAACGGCTAAGTACAACATCAAAACGACGTCAGTAGTTTAGTTTAAAAAGTCTTCAGCAAACTTTCCATTTTTGTATTAAATGAAACGATGAGTTTATGTTTTCGTAGACTAGGTTTGTTTCTCGTAATTTCCTTTCAAAGTCCAGTCGTTTTGAGTCCTTTTCTTTTCTTGGAGTCGAACCCTAGAAGGTTCAAGCTGACAGACTATTTATAAAGTCCCACACGCTGCTTTGTAGTCACGAACCTTTTTCCCATTATCAATAAAAGAACAAACTTTCTTCAAAGTTTATTGAGAAGCGGCTTCTCATCTTGTTCACTGCTTTCTTGTGAGATTCAAGCAAGCGGGAGCTCCTGCACCGTATCAGAGAATCACCATCCTTCTGTGTCGTGTATTCACTCCGCCAACACACCATCTCTAGATCCCACACGAGAGGGCGACCGCCTGCGTGTCAGATCCCCATCCAACGTTCATTCACCGAGCCAAAGAGAGGGCGACTGCCTGCTTTGCCTCACCACCACCTTGTTACCCGTGGGAACCCCTTGGTTCTTACATCAATTGACAAGAGGGAGTTATGAGCTTACAAATAAAAAGTAGAGACTCTTAAATGTGGAAGGAGATGCATCATTACTTTTTTTCTTATTCCTTTAGCTACACTAAAACTCTCCTATGAAAATCAGAAAACTGGGACTCTGTCTAAGAAAAGTCAGATTCGGATAAAAAATGGCACTATATTGACAAGAGGGAGTTCTGAGCTTACAACTAAGAAGTAGAGACTGCTAAATATGGAAGGAGATGCATCATTTACTTGTTTTCTTATTCCTTTAGCTACACTTAACCTCTCCTATGAAAATCAGAAAACTGATACTCTGTTTATGAAAATTCATATTCTGATCCAAAATGGCACTATATTGACAAGAGAGAGCTCTGATCTTACAAATAGGAAGTAGAGACTCCTAAATATGGAAGGAGATGCATCATGTACTTTTTTTCTTATTCCTTTAGCTACACCTATACTCTCCTATGAAAATCAGAAAACTGGGACTCTGTTTAAGAAAAGTCATATTCTGATCCAAAATGGCACTATATTGACAAGAGGGAGTTATGAGCTTACAAATAAGGAGTAGAGACTCTTAAATGTGGAAGGAGATGCATCAATTTACTTGTTTTCTTATTCCCTTACCTACACTGAAACTCTCCTATAAAAATCAGAAAACTGGGACTTTGTCTAAGAAAAGTCAGATTCGGATAAAACAAATGGCACTATGTTGATAAGAGGGAGTTCTGAGCTTACAACTAAGAAGTAGAGACTGCTAAATGTGGAAGAAGATGCATCATTTACTTGTTTTCTTATTCCTTTAGCTACACTTAAATTCTCCTATGAAAATCAGAAAACTGATACTCTGTTTATGAAAATTCATATTCTGATCCAAAATAGCACTATATTGACAAGAGGGAGTTCTGATCTTACAAATAGGAACTAGAGACTCCTAAATATGGAGGAGATGCATCATTTAATTGTTTTCTTATTCCTTTAGCTACACCCAAACTCTCTTATGAAAATCAGAAAACTGGGACTCTGTTTAAGAAAAGTCATATTCTGATCCAAAATGGCACTATATTGACAAGAGGGAGTTATCAGTTTACAAATAAGAATTAGAGACTCCTAAATGTGGAAGGAGATGCATCAATTTACTTGTTTTCTTATTCCTTTAGCTACATTAAAACTCTCCTATAAAAATCAGAAAACTGGGACTCTGTCTAAGAAAAGTCAGATTCGGATAAAAATATGGCACTATATTGACAAGAGGGTGTTCTGAGCTTACAACTAAGAAGTATAGACTGCTAAATGTGGAAGGAGATGCATCATTTACTTGTTTTCCTATTCCTTTAGCTACACTTAAACTCTCTTATGAAAATCAGAAAACTGAGACTCTGTTTAAGAAAATTCATATTCTGATCCAAAATGGAACTATATTGACAAGAGGGAGTTCTGATCTTACAAATAGGAAGTAGAGACTCCTAAATATGGAAGGAGGTGCATATTTACTTGTTTTCTTATTCTTCTAGTTACACCAAAACTCTCTTATGAAAACCAGAAAATTGGGACTTTGTTTAAGAAAAGTCATATTCTGATCCAAAATGGCACTATATTGACAAGAGGGAGTTATGAGCTTACAAATAAGAAGTATAGACTCCTAAATGTGGAAGGAGATGTATCATTACTTGTTTTCTTATTTCCTTAGCTACACTAAAACTCTCCCATGAAAATCAGAAAACTGGGACTCTGTTTAAGAAAAGTCATATTCAGATCAAAAATGGCGCTATATTGACAAGAGGGAGTTCTGAACTTACAACTAAGAAGTAAAGACTCCTAAATGTGGAAGGAGATGCATCATTTACCTGTTTTCTTATTCCTTTAGTGATAACTAAGAGTTTTCACTCTTTAAAGAGGTTATCAATACCCCTGTCCTTGTAGTACAAGGGGTTATCAAACCAAACTTGTAGTGGATACACTAATCTATGTTACTTGTAGTCTTAAGTCAAGATGGAATGATAAGGGTTTTAACTAAACTATTTAACAAGTAAATAAGCATGTAAATGAAACGAAAGATGATATTTAAACTAAGTGAAGATGCAAATAACAAGCAAATGATTCAGATGATGATAATATATGATAAAGGCAGAAGCTTTAGACAGGATACTTGACTCGGGTGCTTCCAAGCTAAACTAATGGGTTAATGAATCATTTTATCAAGCGATTTCATTTAACTTTGAACTCAAGGCATGTTAATCTTCTCATGAAAGTATTAAACAACTAAACTGATCCTCTTTCATACCAAAATCCCTTTTGAGAAGCACGAATCAGTCAGCAATAAGATTCAGTTCAAAAATGTCATTTAAGAGAACAAACTATCACTCTCGCGATGAAAGACTCGTAAACCCTTAACCGAGTGGTTCAGACATTTCTACAAACACTTTTGATGCGAGATATGTCTCAGATCTGAACCTCAAGTGATGTGCTTGGATCCAGCCTAGAGATCTCGTCGGTTAAGGAATGAAACATGCAAGACTAGACACCTAAACCCATTAATCTATCTTGAAAGCACCCTAATCTACCTATCTAAAGCCGATTAAACGACTACTCACTGATCATAACGAGCTCACTAAGTCCTTTGCAAGACGTGTAGCTAGTCATGATAAGGAGTTTAATGCTGGATGATAAAAAGAAATAAAGAAAGAACAAGATTCTGATGCAAAAACGAGATATCGGATTAGATTAATCAAGTTTCACAAAAGAGGCAAGTTCTTAAGGCTAAAAGAAGTTAAGAGATAAGATGATTAGGTTTTTGGTCCTAAAATATATTTATAG